GTTCTTGTGGCGGCTAAGTAACGTTGAGACTTGGGTTAGTGCTGCCTTAACGGATGAGACAACGTGTCTTGATGGGTTCGATGGGAAGGTTATGGATGGTGCGGTGAAATCAGCTATTAGAAGACGAGTGGTTCATATAGCTCGAGTTACTAGTAATGCATTGGCTCTTGTAAACCGGTTCGCGGCTCGACATAAGGCATAGATTCTGCTTTTAAATTAAAATCATGCCTTTAAGACTTTAATAGGTATTGTCATATCCTTTTGTTTTCTTCCTAGTGTCGTTGTACTCTTCTTCTTCCACTTAAATTTTTTTTGTTGTTGTGTTATGTGTCATATCCTTATGTGACAGTTTTTTAAATTTCTAAACTAATAGTATTTTGTTATTTACTTTGAAATTTGTAAAGATTAATTAATAATACATTAATAACTTTAAAATATATTTGAAACAAATTTTTATTCCTAGAAAAATCATCTTTTAAGAACAGAATAAATACTATTTTTTCTTACCTAAAAATTTTATGTATTTGTAACGCGAAAACGGATTATTTAGCACGAATTTCCAAACATTTAATTTTAGAATTTTTTCTGTAAAATATTATTTTCATGTGTAGGCTTCTCTATACATAAAGTATTATTTAAAGTGATTAACAAAAAAAAAAGAATCTAAGATATCTGAAATATATATATCATTCACTTGATTTTAATGCCTTCATTTGAATATATGATATGAGTACTTCATATTCATTCGGATTAACAAACAAACAAATAAAAAAAGCACACAATTTTCTTTTTCTTATCAAATTGTAGTCTAGGATAAGGCTATACACTACATCGGTCCCAAAAACACTTCAAATGAACATATATGCCAAGGGATAATATATTATTGTAGACACAATAGTCTTATACCATTTTGAGCCACTCGAATAAAACCACTAGTGTTTCCCTAAAAAAACAAATGTGGTATCTTTCATCACACATACGTATTTTAAAAGTTGAGCATTTTATAAGATCTGAATCATGATAGTGCTTTTTTACGTCTTTCCACGTACGCTCCTTAGTGCTCACCCTGATAGTGTTATTAAACAAAACCTTCGGATGTGTAAAGCTTTTGGGAAAAGAGGAAACTAAATTAGGTAACGATTATGAAGATAACCAAATAGCTTTATTGCCACATTTTAAATTTTGTTTAGCTTAAGAACCACTTTTTAAAAAGTTGATCACCATAACGTGTAATGCACGTGAGGCCTGACTGATTTGACTTTATAGATTAGAGGAGTCGATAAAGTTTAATACTACTATCAACTTTAACACAGAGCTAAAGAAGATTCTCTTGTAACAATCCGAAAAAAGTAGCTTACAAAATCAGGAGAAGTAAGAGACACATAGATTCTTGATTCATTTCCCAAGAACTCACCAAACCAAACCGACTACGGTTTATCGATTTACCGGACCTGAACAATACCAGCGCTAACCAGCTTCTGAATCTTGTTCATTACCATTGGGTTCTTCGTATGTTCCTGTGCAGCTTTCGGGTTCTCTTGGAAATCCACCAATACCTGCAATATTCAATCCAAACGACATCAACAAAAAAGTCTCGGACACAGCCAATCAGTATACAAGTACATAGTTCTCATCTCTGTTTATACCTGTCTCATCACTGGATCCGACAATATGTTCTGGACTTCTGGATCTTGCATTGCCTTGGCTTGTCTCTCCTTCAATTCTTCTGGAGTCAGATCACCGCGGTTTGCTTTGTTTATCTGTTCCACACACCTGAGACACAATACATCAAGCAACATTGTCACTAATCTGATCATCGTTAGCTTTGGCAACTAAGAGAGAATGCGAAATTCGCAAACCTTTTAACACCATCAAGCAACTCTTGGTTCTTAGCATCATGTTTCAGACCTTCTTGATATGTCTCCATGGCTTTATCGTATTCCTTCATGAAAAACTGAATAGCTCCTTTCCTGCTGTATCCTTTGGTGAAACTCGGGTCTAGCTCAATGCATTTTTCAGCATCTTTTAATCCTTCTGGTAATGCTCCTAGCTTTGTGTAACAAGCAGCTCTATTGCTGTATGCCTAAAGACCCGTAAAAAACCTCACTTTAGAGTCCATATTTTCTATAACTATGTGCTAGGTAACAACATGAAACATGCTCTTACCCTCACGTCATTCGGGTTTCTTTTAATTGCTTCTGAATAATGCTTCACTGCCTCTGGATATTTCTGCTCTTTAAAGAATCCATTACCTACATCAAAATTGAAGTCGGCAGAGGAATGTCAAATGCAAAACAATTAATATCATATCTGTATATTAAATCGAATTTGTAAGAGATAGCTACATAGGGTCAGTCAGTACCTTTCTCACGCTCCTCTTCAGCTATCTTAGGATCAAAGTACTCCTGTTGCTCCATCTCTTTCTTAGCTTTCTCAGCATCGTTAAGTTTTTTCAAGGTATCCGGATTACGATGCTCTGTTAGAGCTTTCTGGAAAGTCTCAATTGCAGGTTCGAAGTCTTTCGAGCATTTTGCCATTTTTACCAGTGCAGATCCTTTCCTAGTTAGAGCTCTTGCTATCATCTTATAGTCAGAACGAAGCTCTCTGCCTCTTTCAACAGCCTTGTCACAGTCTCCAATGCACTCATCGTACTGATAATCCATGTAAAGAAATTCACATATGAGAAAGGCAATAAAACACCACGATATGCATGTATGATCCAGAAGAACCAACTGTTAATCAAACTGGACTAATGCAGGAACACATGGACCAATGGATATACATCACTCGGATAGATATACATTGACATATTGGAGTAAGGTTTATTATAGCCACATACTCCTACCTCAAACACCAAGAAGCAGATCAAAGTTATCAAAAGCCATCATGAAGACAGGATGAAACTTAAATTCCTACCTAATCTAAAGTTAACCAGAAACCAAGTATGCGACTTTCAGAACAAGTGAAGACTCAAGTCCAAAATTCTTAAAGTCTCCAACAAAAGCAGATCAAATTTAGTCATCAAACCCCATTAAAATCATCACAGATGCTCTAACTAGTGACAAACTATACTAACCAAACAAGTTAGTTCATGAATCCTAGATCTCCTCCTTAATTATAAAGGTTTAACTTTTAATCCAAGTATAAGTCTTATCCAAAGCCCATTCGTTCAGAAAAGAACACAACGCAAAGCATAACAAAAAAAAAAAACTAACTTGGTAAAGAACTCGAAACCAATACCTTCCCCATCTCAAGATAAACAGCAGCACGATTTGTCAAATACGAAATATCCTCATCATCAAGCTCCATCGCCTGAGTATAACATTCAATAGCTCTCTCAAAATCCTTCTTCTTGTAAGCAGCATTCCCTTGTTCTTTCTCCTTCAACGCCTTCTCCTTCCTCTCCTTCTTCTCCCTCTCCTCCTCACTCAACTCCTCCATAGGTTCCGGTTCTGGCTCAGGCTCTGGTTCAGGCTCTTTCCTCACTGACGCATTCGAATCATCAGCCTCCTTCATCTCCGTATCTTCACCACTACTCATCTTAACATTCAACAAAACCCCTAAAGCCTGCATAACCCTCTTATCCTTCATATACAAATTAAGATTATTAGGGTTCTTCTGAATCTCTTGCATCGTCTTAACAAAATCAGGCTGCTGCAAATAAACCCTAGTCCCCGGATCCGCCGTCAATTTCGCCCACATCTCCGGTCCATGAAACGCATCAACAAAAGGATTCGACTTCGCACCGCGAGATCTCGTCGCATCAGCTAAACCCGATTTAAGCGTCTCGTTACTCGGATCAATCTCTAAACCTCTCTTATACGCATCAGCGGCGTCGTTAAACTTAGATAATCCGATATACGCCGCGCCTAATCGACTATAACCTTTAGACCAATCGGGTTTAAGCTCCACAGTCTTCTTCGCGTCTGATAAAGCTTCTTCGTAACGGTGGAGAGAAGCGTAGGAGGCAGATCGGTTTGAGTAGAGGACGTGATTCGTCGGAGCGAGGTTAATCGCTTCTGTGAAATGGGTTATCGCGGTGGCGTAATCGCCGGAGGAAAAGGCGGCGTTTCCTTTGGATTTTGCTTCTTCCGCCATTGAATTGGATTGGGTTTAGGTATGAAGAGAGCTTCGTTGATTGAATTGTTTGTTTGCATATTGGAGATAGCGACAATGGTGAAAATTTAAGAACAGAGATGAGGAAGAAGAAGACTGAAACGAGAGAGTTCTGGAAATTTCGAATTTTTATTTTTGTGTCGAGAATGTTCCGTTATGGACAAAAAAAATGATAATAATAAAAACAAAACGCTAGAGAGAGGGGTCGAACCTCTGACCTTGTGGTTAACAGCCACACGCTCTAACCAACTGAGCTACTCCAGCTCTTCTGACTTCGAATGCGATTGTATATTATTTATCTTAATAAAACCGACGTCGTTTATTGCAATTTCCAAATCTCTTATGAGATCTATTAACATTGTACATAATAAACGTTACGAGATTTATTAACAAGTATGTTTTGGAGTTAGCATATTTAATAATAAATATTTTTGGTGCACAAATATATATATTCTTTAAGACAAACTTATATTTGGAATAGCGAATTCCTTAACAAATCAAATATAATTTTTTTAATTATTTTATTGCTTAGTATTTACTATTTACTTTAGACTACTAAACCAAAACATATATTTGAGCTAATCTTATGATTGCTGACAAAAAAAAAACATATACTGAACACTAATCATTCTCATTGAATGTGTTTGCCAAGCAATAAAATTGACGATGTTGAAGTTAAAAAAGAAAAAAGAAGAGACTCTGATTCAGCTTGAATGTTATGATTAGGCACATTTAAGTCAACATGGTCTGATTAAGGTACTTATTATGTATTTAGATTATCGTTCAATATTTTTATTGCTTACTACGAATTGTCAATGCTTAAGACCTCCTTGTAGAAATATTAATGGTTAAAAAAAAAGAACATGTGTTTCTTTGCATACTATGATTCGTTCAAGATTAATGTTATAACTGGATCTAGTTGTAGAAAAACTTTTCACTCATATTAGATCAATTTGACCTTTTCAATTTCAGTAAAAGCTTTTCTCCCGAACTAATTGAGTGGAAAATTTGATTTTTTTTTTTTCAAATTTTAGAAATGTTAAAACTTGTACTTTTCTTTTAATATTAAAAAGATTTCCAATATAATATTTATACATTTTACAAGATCTAAGGTGTGTAAATGCAAACATCTTAAGTGAGTTTCCGAATAAATACTGATTACATTTTTTTCCCAAATATTCCGATCTTAGAAACATCCACAACCACATAACAAATCATCTCAAGAGAGGGATACATAATCTAAAACTTTGAAGGAGTTACTAAAATTTATTAAATAGATAAGAAATGAATTCTACTAATACCGAATTGGGAAAAATGTCAGTTAAATCACGAACTTTCAAATTTTGGCCATTTAAATCACGAACTTTCTATATGGCCATTCAAAACATAAACTTTTCGTTAACATATTTTTTTAAACATCATCTTTCGTTGACCAGGCCGAAATGAACACCATATCCTCAAATTCGTTGACAAAGCAGCTAACCATCGTTAATCATATTTGTTAGTGAGAAAAAACAGCGTTTAATGCTAAAACGATATCTAAAAATCGTGATTTTAACGTCATAATCCAAAAATCAAATCCCTACTTTCTCACTTTGTTTTAGCCTTAAAAGACGTCGTCTCTTACTAATAGAGATGAATTAGTGATGGCTAAATGTTTGTTAGTTGTTTTGTAACAAATTTTTGGATATGATGTACAATTTGGCTTTGTTAACGAAAGATGATGGTTTAAAAACTAAGTCCATAAAAAATTCATGCTTTAAATGGCCACATAGAAAATTCGTGATTTAAATGGCCAAAATTTGAAAGTTCATCATTTAAATGACATTTTTCCCATACCGAATTATAGTTTTTCGAGGTAATTTAAGGCTTTACACGTAGCATGTTTAATGATTATATCAAATGTGTCCAAAAGTTCCGGTCAATCTCTCTCACGATAAAATGAGATTTGGACAAAAATCTGATGTCTTGTCTCAACGAAAGAGTTAACCGAGTAGAGTAATATGTGGAAAACAATACAATATGCGGTGGATCTTAAAGATACAATTCCGGCCGTGTGATGAACAACATAAATTGATTATTATAGGTTGTTCGTCATATTATAGTTGAAAAATTATATAAATCTTAATCTAGTGCTAACAAAAAAGTAGTTTATCCATATCTTTTTTATATATTTATTTTTGATAACGTCACATAATATGAGCAATGGTTATTTTTATAGACAAATCTCTACAAATGTGTTCAAAATATGGATTTGTTATAAACTATCATCAGCAAATAATGCAAAATATATGTGAATTTGTACGGTTTTGGTTCAACTTCAAGTTGTTCAAATATATTTTTACTTCTTTTTTAAAAAAAAAAGTTAAGATTGGTTTTCTCTTTTACAATACAAATTAAGACTAGATAATATAGTGATTACTAATACATCAATCAACCAATTTGAAAACAATCTTCTATTTTGGAACGACATGCTTGAGTTTGCCAGTCTGAATGGGTCTCCATTTGGTGTTATTATATTTTGGTTTCCTATCTCTTCATTCCTTACAGGAGTGGTTTCATGCCTCCTTTCTTTTTTGCATCTAGCATGTTTTTTGGAGTGGAATGTGGCTATTTTTTTTTGGACTGAAGTTTTTGTTTCTTTAGATTTTGATGTAATGAATATTTTTAAACAATTGATATTTGTTCCAACTACTATCTTTTACATTAATAATATATAGTGATTATTAATTTATGATATAATAGGGACTATATTTTTAAAATTATATGTTTGAATTATATACTCTACAAAATAATTATTAATTTATAATATTATAGGGACTATATTTTTAAAATTATATGCTTTAATTAAAAAATTTATATAGCATATAATTAAAATATATGTATCTATATATACATTTTTGAAGTACATTTGGTGTTATAACCTTTGATGTTATAATATTTGCGTAATAAATCTTTAACATTTGATTAAATAACAAAAGTTTAAGGTAAATTTTGTAATTAAATCCTAATAGTATCACAAATTTTGAAACCAACATTTATTACATTAAAAAAAATTCCTAAAATATCTCCCTAGTAAACTGAATATTTCTCAAATATCTTTATATGATCTTATTTGTTTTAAAATTTATATTATTACATATAACATACGTATAGTAAAAATACAATTTTTGCGCATATGGTGCAATTTTTTGTTTTTTTTAAAACGGACGTATATTACTGAATCTATAAAGATTAAACAAGTATGTACAACGTCACATATCGGGTTGAAAATTTTAGATAATGGTTCATAACCATCATAAATAAGACTACTATGCTTCTAAGTATGATTATATTTGATTGAACGGCTTTGAGTTTACATAAATTTGACTAACCGGGTTTGAGTTTACATAAAATGATTATATTTTTCTTACGGGGTGTCTATACACAAAATATTAGTTATAAAAAATTATATCGCACGTTAAGTAATAAAATTTACAATTTAAAATACAGTTACACAATTTTAAACACTAAAAAATTAATAAATATAACTTAAACTGAAAATTTTTGGCAAAACAATTATCCCGCCGCGTTACACCGCGGGTTAAAACCTAGTGTATATAATTAAAGTCCTCATATATACATAAATATATATATATATATATATATATATATATATAATGAGAAGCAAATGTTAAATAATATATATACATACATATACTTTAATTATATGCTCTATAAAAGATTTAAGAGTTTTTAAATATTTAGTGTGTGCCATTTTTTAAAGAGAATTTTTGAGAAATACCCCATTTGGTATACCCTTTTTTAAAAATACCCCTCTTTTCTATTCATTTTCAAAAATACCCTTTTTCAAATATGAAAAATTATAATCGTTTATATGGTTGATAAGGTACATCAAGATCATCATTACTACTGGGAGACTAAATCCAAATATTTAGAAGGTTTTAAAAGGTTCTAAACGACATTTATATGATTTTTATAAGGTTTTTAAAAGGTTTACACAGTTTTTATAAGCTTTTTATATGATTTTTAAAAGGTATTTATACGGTATTTATGAAATATATATATAAATTTACACACATGTAAAGATAATTTGTGTTTATAAATATAAGTTTATACATATTCTTTTGATAAATTTCAATTTTTATTGTAACTTTTTGATAAAATTAGAAATATGGGTATTTTAAAAAAATGGTATTTGAAAAGGGGTATTTTTGAAATTTCCTCTTTTTTAAATAGACAAAAAATGGTACTTTGTTATTTTCCTTTGGATATAATAAAACTAGAGTCTAATATTACACACAAATCTAGACTATCTAATATCATAATTTTTCAATATGTTCTATCATATATTTTTTTTACAACATTGATACATATAATTCTCATAATTTTTGATATTATGAATCGGTATATCGTATAACATATCAAGGGAAAAAACTAATATTCACAAATTCTCTATTTTCTGTATTTTTTTCTCCGGTTTGAATTTTGAGTATTTCCTAATATTATTCTTTTTCTTCTTAAAAAACTCTCTTCCTGCGGCAATGATCCCATGCGGCGATCCTCATCTGAACCTTCTCAAAATCCGAAACCCGACATGGGATCGTAATCCGACCCGGTTGATCAAACCCATGAACCCGTTCCGCTTGCTCCAACAACTCTCCGAACAAAGGATGATTAAAGTAAATCACCGGCACCACAACCCTCCGCGTGTCACCGTCTGATTCGCCGACATGAACCACTAAATGTCCTCTCGGAACAACCCGGTTCGACGATTTCGGATCCTTACCCAATCGGATCTGACTTTGACCCGAATTCTTCTTTCCACCACCACCACACAATCTCTTAGCTCCACGGCTTAAACACCGTGCTAATGACTTGATTCCTGAAACCGGGTTAGTGATTCGGGTCGGGCATTGACGTTTCCCTGATTGGATTCTTCTTGGTAGAATCATCCATTTGAAGATTTTGACAAATCTGTGTCCGATTTTGAATCCTCTGACTCTCTTCATGTTTGGTCTGAGCAGATATTCTGACAAAAAGTCTTTTTGGAGAAAACAATGAGATGGGTTTGTTCGAAATCGAGTTTCAAGAAATGGGTTTAATTTAGAACAAGTAAATTTTGAGAAAGTTTGGATTTTTTTTCTTGGTTCTCTCTCTGTGTTATGTTATAGAGTTGAAGAAGAAGAGTGTTTGGGTATGGCCGTATGGGGAAGGAGGCAACCTCTTTTATAGGCCTTTTGAGCTATGACTATGTGCGCGTGCGTTTTTTAGATGTGCACTTTGATGTATAGTTTTCCAAATTCAATATTTTCTTGTTTTTTATTTCTTTTATTTTTGTGTACTTTTTATAAAAAAAGTTTTACATTTTCTTTAATTATGCCATGTTACACTATAGTTTTAAGTTTTTATGTTTTTGAATATGTGATTCTAAAATATCTTTTACTATTGACATTATTGAACAATTTTTCACGTTAAAATAAAAATATAATTAATTATGTGCTATCGAATTCTAACCTTAAAACTAACTTATTAAAGCTGAAGAATATAAATTTATAATTTTGAGTATGGAGAAGCTATATATGCTGGGAATGGACTACTTCAACACTTCATGGCTTATGTGTAATCAAGTTGCACATACGCTACTTCAAGAAATTGCCTATTACGACTCATGTTGTTTGTTTATTCACTCTATATGGCTATCATAACATATCCATAAATTGTGATGATAGTTACCAAACTAAACACAAACCTTATGTGAAAGCACAACTTCTTGGATATGTAGTAATGTATATATATATATTATTAATCCGTATTTTCTTTTAAATGGAAAAAACATGTAATAGCTTTGTTTTTTCATCATCAACGATTTGGCATTGGCATTTGGCAATATACTTCAGGTTAAGCTAAGACAATAACTCTTTCAGTGATATAGGTTGAACATATATATTGGTCTCAAAGGGAATAATGAAAAGTATATGTAATCTCGTTATTTGGATATGTGAATGAATGTCATATCAATTATACGGTAGTTGAAATTTCAATATACCAGATCGAATAGCTTGAAACTTTCATTAAGATGCTCTTATCATATATGAAACCAAGGTACTTATTTTAAATTGTTCCATATTTCTTATTTATTTTCACATGTCATAATCATTAAAATTCAACCAGTAGTTGAATCTTATTTTGATTTTTAAAAAAATATATAATTATGGGAGTTAGTAACATGTTTCTTGTTGTAAGTATCTAGATGATTCGATTTGATATAATGATAATTAGCTCTATAATAGGTTTTATTATGTCGTTCTCGTTCCTTATGAATAATATGCATAACATATGTATATGTATGTGTCTCTATGTACATGAACACTCTACTTACAAGTTCAGATTATTTTGGCTTTTTCTATACTAACTAGTTCAGATTGAATAATGAGTTTGATAAGACAACTTGGAACAACGCATCTATAAATAAATACTACAGAGATAAAGAGCTCAGATATATCCAATTAAATAAACCAATTTCACAAATTTTTCTATTATTTTTAAGGAGAAATTATACATAGTTAAAATATGGAAGTTTGAATAATAAAATTAAGAAGAGATTGATGAAGACAAAAGGCAAGCAAATGTGTGGGAGGGACATAGTGTGAGATTTGGTCGGCGGTCGACACGGCGCGTGCGATCTTTGTAACATGCCCCGATTCACTGAAAGTGCTTCCTTCAGTTTGAGAATTATTGTGTTGCATTATTATATTTTTGGTATAATTAAAACATTTCTTTCTTAGCTCATTGTGTATTTTAAAGTTTCAAAATATAAAATACCACATTATATATACATGGTCCGAAGATTTATATATCGACATGAGTTTTTGGAGGTCATACCAATATACCATCCGTTAATACTCCCTTCGAAGCCATTCGTTTCCTAGCTAGTTCTACTCATACATATACATTGATTCGCACCCGTTCATATATTGATGGATTAATTTAGTCGTGATTTAGTTGGTCGTATAACCAACCATTCCTATTAGCTTCACGATAGAGATTGAGGATCGTACGTATTCTTTAGTATCGCTTATTGATTCATCCATGCTTTCAAACGTACATTCCTAAGTCCTAACTTTACCATTAGCAAACTTAACTTGGTTCCTTTCCATTTTATCCTAGCACAAAAGCTAAACATTGACGAAGAGGATGAGTGCACCAAATTAACATCATCAAAATGCTACATAATTTCTAGGCCATCTCCTAAGGTCGGGGGAAAACATTTTAAATCTCGAACCCTCGTGGCCAATACTATTCGAACCCAGATGGCAGAATTTACCTCCTTTTACTACTAAACCAAGGCGACTTGGTTGACACTTATTCAAACAAGATTATACTCCTACGAATCCGCTACTACGTATCGTTAACTACTACTCAAATTCACTTTTTTCCTATGCCAAACAACAACAACAACAAAATTGGTAAAAACAAAACAATAAAACGATCGATGTTAATAAACATCTTCTAGACTTCTACTCGTGAAAAGCGAAATGATAGTGCGTAGAGAATAAAGAGAGTATAATGAATAATGGTGAAGGCATTACTAAAATACCACACACGTTTCATATACTTTACGTATATTTTGTTCTTTTTAAGTTTCGTCACACACATTTCTAGATTCTCTTCTCTTTTTGTTCCAATCCACTATTTCAAAAGAAGAAGATACTCCAATTGCCACGATTTACATTTTAATAGAACAATTTAAAAACGTGTTCAATTTTATTTGGATCGATGGGAGAATGAAAAAGAAGAAACAAATTCGAAGCCTTTATGGAAGGGAAAGATAGAAACTAACATTTTTATGTACTTTTGTTTACCTAATTATATTTGAAACCATACATTCCTCATCTCTTCTTATCTTCCCATGTTATTTGAATCATGTTCACACATATGACGTCGTACGTAAAAGGATCCAATATGCAAGAACCATATATTTTTTGCAAGAAAAAACAATTACTATAGTATTTGTGATATCTATTAATACATAATATTCTGAAATTATATTCAGTAAAAATATTCTTAATATTCTGTTTCCCCCATATATATTAATGATTTGTAAATTGGGGACAAAATAAGACATACTGACATTGATAGATAGATATATATGATCTGATGATCATATGTTAATTTTATTCTCAACAGAGGGAATATAAATCTTTGAGCATAACTATATAATCTTGTAACCCATGATAGCACACCCTTAAGTAATCTTTAACCAGCTTACCAAATCTAATACACATGTGACGTGACAACTAAAATTTTAATGTCTCTATTAGAGACTATCTAAGACTAATTACCATGCAGATGTTTGTAGTTAATAAGTATACCCTAGCTATCATTATGTTTAATCATTGAATTCTTTTTTGTTTTACAACAAATATTTTATGGTATGTATAGAATAAGCTAAGGTTTTTTGTTTTTCTTCCAAAGAGCAAAATGGGTAATAACGTGATGAAGGCGACTCGAGCCAAACCCAAGTAGCAATCAAACGTTTGTAATTGTAGAAGAAAGATAAATAAGAACAGCTAACAAAAAGTCAGCGTCAGATTTGTTTGTGGGCAAGAGGACAATACAAATAAATAAATGTTTTTGGCACCTTCCAAGTTCTAGTAATTTTGTAGTTAATCCACCAATCACGGATCTTAATGTTTGCTGCCATAATCTTTTTTTGTTTAATCCTTCAAAAAATAATAGATTAATATAACTAATCAGCAGTTAACTAGTTAAATATATTAATTGATTATTAATTTAGCTAATGATCGATCGGGTTGCAAGGAAAATAAAATAGTTTTGTTAGATACCACAGTTTAACTTATTAGATATTGTATAGTAGTTAGTTATCATAAGATACACACCATTATTTCATGGTACATCTTTGTGGTTACATCTCAAATAAATCTCGCAATACTAAAGGATGGTAGACTATTTTCACTTCTATTTACAATTTAGAGACGTAATTATATTTTTCTACTATTTTAGAAAATATGAATTTTTATACTTTTCACATTTTTGAAAGTGATATATATTATGCATTTGATATAAACTATACGCTAAATACAGTATAACAAAGCATCATTAGGTTACTAATTTTCAAAAAAAAAATTATGGGCCTATTGTAGGGGTTTTCTAAATATAAAAGAAAGGGAAAAAAAAAACATTATAGTATGTGACTAATTTGGAGGCAAACATACTCTTTAACAAAAACAATCTTCCCCAAGCCCAATTCAAATATGTCATTGGATCAAAAGCTAGGAGCCTAGGACCAAAAAAGCCTTGTGTATATATATATTGTCTGTATGAGTGTGGCCTATAATATAATTTCGATGCTATTCAAGTACTATTCAAGGCCCATAAAAGGCTCATTTTATATTGGTGATTGGTGAATGCATGATAAGATGATAGTAGTATATATGAGTTGTAATTTGTAATGTTTTGTTATAATCTTTGTTCATATTATAAAATTAGCATTGTATAATTGTTATATACTACTCACTTTCACTTATATGCGAACCTTTGAAAAGCTTATTTATTTTTTATTTTTTTTACATTTTTGAAGTACAACTATGTATTGACCAATTCAATATATATAGAACGAGTTTGTCAGAGATTAGGATGGTAACATGTTTTTTTTCTTTTGTCATTTACAGAAACCACCAAGAAATTTCTCAATTATGACTTTTATCAGAGAAAAATTTGTAATTTTCTTGTCCATTTGTTTTTATCAAAATTGGCAAGAAAGAACGAAGGGACAAAGATAGAAAAGGAAAGCAAAATTTACAGAAAGGATCCAGCCTGGACTTTGTCAGAGAGACAAAAAGCTGAAACATCCCAACCAAAAAAGATAAGCTAATAATATTATTCTCCACCTCACTCTTCATTATACCATCTTGGGACCTCATCACTCATAATGCTTACTCTTTTATCCATTTTTGTTTAATAATTAAAAGGATACGGCACAAATTCATACATCTTCTCATATCCAAAACCAGATCATGTAATACAGTTTCGTCCCAAACATTATCCGAACCGTTAAAAATTTTGCCGAATATCTTTACCAATTAAGCAATTAGCATTTTGTACTACTCTATTATCCATTTTCTTATGTTTTATTTTCTTTTTCCAATTAATTTATTATTTTGTAATATTATA